CGGGTCTGTTTTGGGATGATTTGGGTTAGTTTGGGGTCTGTAGGGTTCGCTTCGGTATGATTCCCTCACCAGTTGTGTAGTTGTGATGGGTTAGGTGGAAATATGCTGTGGACCGAGTAGAGTGTGGATCGTAGCCTACGGGGTGATTGCACGCGACACTGTTCTGAATGGTTGTGGCTGCTTCTCGTCTTTTCTCGCACTGCTGTAATTCGCAGGGCCCCATGAGAACGCGTGGAGAGCAGTATCGATTGGTGTTGCTGGCAACACGTGTATCACGGGCAGGTCGTCTTTACGCGGGTGCCACTTGTTCTTGAGACGCTGGTGGCCATTTCTTCCGATTTTTGTTTCGCTAATTGTTCTGGTTACCCCTTCCACAACCATCATTGCGAAGGCGTAAAACGAAGTAACTGCCGCGTATTATAGCGTGTTACATCGTTCAAGGCATCAATAGTTTCGCATTTGTTTTAATGGTTTTAAACACCTTTTTGTGTTTCCGTTATTATTGTATTCTATATGTTACGCGCAGTATTCGTTTATAAAATAGGGAATACATATTTGCATATTAATATTAATTTCGGATCGTGAAATTCAAATGATTAATTTTCATAATATTAGACAACCCATACCATGAACAGCAATTGTGATGATTCACTAATCAATAGTCATGTACAGTCAGCACTACGATTCCTATTCTTCCACCTGTTGGTGCAACCCTATGGCTTGCACTCGGCTTGTCGTCCTTGTTTGTGTGTGTGCATGCATGGCATGGAATGAATTGTGAGTCTATGTCATTGCTATCCAGTTCTTGTGTGTGTGTTTTAATGGTGTATCACAATGTGGTTTGTGTCGGTCAAGACATTAGCGAGTTTCTACAACTCGCATGTCAAGTCGTCGTTTGTGTGTCGCATGTGTTTTTTCTATTTTGTCGAGTGTGAAGTGTCCATCGTGTTGCAGGTGTGTGCAGCAAGCCCCCATCAACTCAAGAAGAATTTATCTTGCAGATCCAAGAACAAGAGCTCAAGATTTCAAGCCCAAGGGACGCGGATAAATATTAAATAGTGAAAATAGTAACGTTACTTCGAGTAGTGTTACATTTCACTTGGTGTTGCCCCTTGGAGGGTTGGTTTCGAGACTCTTCATGGTTGGGGACTCTGTGGTGGTGTACCACCAACCTGGACCTCGGCTCTTGGGGTATGTAGAGGCTGGGAACCATCTCCCTCTCGAACTCTTCTTGCTAAGTTTGTACTCCTAAGACTATTGTGGCTGCTTTACCTCCTTCCAATCAAACCGCCATAGCATCGTTAAATCTTCATCGAATTTCATGATTCAACTAGCTGCTGATAGAGGACAGCATCCCGCTCCAGATCCAACTTACAGAGCACCGTTTGATGCAGTAACCAGATCGTTATCAATATTTGAAGCCGTCTGACGGAAATCCGACTGTGCTCTCTATCTCTCATTATAGGCACATCTAAGCCTATTGTGATTATAACAAGTGGTATCAGAGCCCCTTGGAGCCGTCTCGACCATGCCTTGGCCTGAGGAAGGGGGTGGCAGAGGTGTTGGAGGCAGAGAAGACGCCCAAGCACAAGGTCAACACCAAGATCCACCCGTTGCTCCGGTGCAACCTAGCCTTGGACCCTCTAGGGATGAGCCTAGAGTGTTTGGCCTTGACAAGTTCAACGGTGACAACTTTGTTGAGTGGTCCTTTAAGATGGAGAACATCTTTGACCATTATGATCTGCTGGAGGTGATGGAAGGAACGGAGAAGCGCCCCGAGAACGACCCGGAGAAGAGCCCGTGGGTGCGGAAGAGCGCACAAGGCTACCTTCTACTTGGGCAAGCGTTGGGGAGCAGCCAAATCCGTCACATCAAGCCTTTTCAGCATGCACCAGCAAAGGGACCAAAGGCATGGGCTGCTCTCAAGGGTGTACACGCTCCTGCAACAGCGGCGGTGGCTGTGGTTTTGGAGCGGCAAATGGCGGCACTTCGAATTGACGAAGGCGAACCGGTGGAGGAAGGAGTGCAGAAATTCTTCGACTTATTGTCACGGCTCGAAGGAGCTGACCTGAACTACAGTGACCTTCAAAAGAAGACCAAGCTGCTAGCCTTACTTCCGGACTCATGGTCCTCGCTCATCATCAACCTTAATCGAGATCTGCCCCGTCTCTCACTCGAAGATGTGAAGCGGGAAATCTTACAAGAAGATTTCCGCCATCGCGAATTGGCGGGTCACGATGGTGCCGGAGTTGCAAGCATGGGCCGTGGGCACGGCCGTGGAAGGGGCAGAGGGCAAGGAGGCAGATTTGGCAGCATTAACTTCAATGGAGGCCGTGGTAATAGAGGATATGGCAGCAACAACAACAACAATGGCTACGGGCGTGGGCACGGTCGATTTGATGGCGAATGCCACTTTTGTCACAAGACCGGCCACATGTGGAGAGATTGCTTTAGATTGCCTGATGGATGGACCCTTTCTCAAGGCCAAGAGGGCAGAGGAGCAAAGGGAGGAAGAGGCAGAGGTCGTGGAGGCCGTGGTGGCCGTGGAGGCGAAGAGGCAAGCATGAAAGGTGGAGACTACGACAAGGACTTGAGTGAAGATCGATACCCGGGCCAATTCTTCTTTGTCTCCACGCAAGCGGTAGCTGCAACAGGAGGTGTGGATGGCTTTGAGGAGCCAGCAACTGTGGGAAAGGTCACCCTTCACTCTCTGGACTTTTGGGTGATCGATAGCGGCGCCACCTACAGCATGACACCTCGTGCGGACTTGCTCACCGAACTCGAACCGTCGCCGGTCAAGCATGTTACATCGGCTTTGGGGCAGCGAGCAGAGGTGAAAGGCATGGGCAAGGCCATGTTCAAGGGTGCTGATGGGAAGATGGTGGGCCTCAAGAACGTGCTTTGGGTGCCCAACCTTGCAGCCAACCTGATCTCTGTTCGGCGTTTGCAAAAGGCCGGCATGGACACATCTTCCAAGGGCTCCAAAACATATACCGCGAGGCTTGGTGAGCGGAAGCTTTGGGACCTTCATGAGGACAGGGACATCTACAATGAGATGTGGCAAATCCCAGTGGTCCCCATGCCTAAGGGGAGGCAAGTGGCAGCAAGCGTCAGCACCAAGAGTGAAGCGGTTGGTGGCGGTGATCACGGAAAACAAAGTGACACCAAGAGTGACTCGAAGGAGTGCAACCTTGGAGAGACCATCAAGGCGTGTGAACCCAAGGAGAGTGGTGCAGCAGCCAAAGGTGGTGGAAATGAGGAGGAGAAGCCTAAGATCAGCATTGCAGCAGCGACGAAGGAGAAAGGAGAGAGCTTGTGGGGCACGATTGCGAGTGCCGCTTTCTCCAACCCGACTTCCGCTACGGGAGAGTGTGATTGGCTGACCTTGCATCGGCGAATGGGGCATGTGGCATTGCCCATTTTGCAGCAGATAGTTAAGCAAGAGATGGTCAGTGGGATACGTGTCAAGGGGGAGCCCAATGAGGTGCTTGGCTGTCCAACATACATGCAAGCCAAGTTCACTCGCTACCCGTTCCATAGCTCGGAGACAACGGCGAAGGCACCACTTGATGAGGTGGTGATGGATGTGGTGGGCCCCTTGAAGCTTGGAGCTGCTGGAGCAGAGTACTTCCTCACCATTGTGGACGTCTACACTCGCATGACTTGGGTGTATGTGCTGCCGAAGAAGAGTGACGTAGCTGAAACGGTGAAGACCGATTGGTTGCCGATGGTGGAGCGGCAACAAGACCGACTTGTGAAGGCGATTCGTACTGACCGTGGGGGAGAGTTCCTGAGCAAGGATTTCTCAACTTGGCTGAAGAAGCAGGGCATAAGGCACTCTCTTACCATGCCCTACTCTCCTGCAATGAACGGCATCGCCGAGCGTGCGAATCGGACACTCACGGAGACGGCTCGGGGACTTCTCATTGAAGCCGGTCTTCCCAATTACTTTTGGCCGGATGCGGTGCGGCATGCTTGTGTGGCCAAGAACAGAGCCTTGACTCATGTGGGAGAAGACAAATGGGTGCCCTATGTGGAGTGGATTGGAAGGAAGCCGAAGGTGGATATGCTTCGGGTGTTCGGGTGCATGTGCATGGCACTTGTGCCTAAGAAACTTCGGCACAACAAGCTTGATCCCAAGGCAACATGGGCCGTGCACCTGGGCATGGCTCAAAACAGCAAGGGATGGCTTCTTTGGGACCCATTTACCAAGAAGTTCTTGGTGAGCAGAGATTGCAAGTTCATGGAGAACTTACCGTACAAGGAGTGGAAGGCGGAGAACCAAGCGAAGATTGGTGTGCGGCTTGGAGAGGTGAAGAGTGCCGGCTTGGAGCATGTGGAGCTGCCCTTGGAGCTGAGTAGCAGCAGCACAGTCACGAGGCAATCTCCTCAAATGAATGGGGATAAGGAGGAGGAGGAGGTGCAGCAAGGTGATGAGCGTGCACCGTCACTTCCGCCTCGTGCTACAAGTGCTCGTGGGAACCGACCAGATTTACCGCAACGCCATGAGAGCATTCAAGTCCCTGCAGCAGAAGAGGAAGGAAGGGGGAGAAGGAGGACTCAGCCCCCCAATAGGTTGAGCTATGACCGGCTTGGAGGACCAGCCAACTCAACCTTGACCGGTTCGGCTCTCATGCTATGCGATGATGCGGAAGATGAAAGCGAGGAGTGCGCCTTTGCCTTCTTCTCTCCGGTGGAGATGCCGGGGGAGCCTACAAATCCCAAGGAGGCTTGGGAGGGCCCCAATGGGAAGGAGTGGAAGAAGGCCTCAGATGAAGAAATGGGGAGCATAATCGAGAACGACACGTTTGACTTGGTGAACCTACCTCCGGGGCGTAAGGCGATCTCTTCCAAGTGGCTCTTCAAGCGCAAGACCGATGCCGACGGCAACATCGAGCGCTACAAGAGCAGACTTGTAGCCAAGGGGTATCAGCAGCAAGAGAAGAAGGACTACAATGAAGTGTATGCCCCTGTGGTGAAGGGTACAACCCTTCGAACCCTCTTCGCCGCGGCGGCCATCAAAGGATGGGTGGTGAAGCAAATGGATATAGTAACGGCCTTCCTCAACGGCGTTTTGGAGGAAGAAACCTACATGGAGCAGCCAGAGGGGTACAATGATGGGAGTGGCAGAGTGTGGAAGCTGAAGAAAGCACTCTATGGCCTCAAGCAAGCCCCTAGGCAATGGTACATCAAGCTGCGGGAAGTCTTGGAAGCGATCGGCTTCACTACCTCAACGGCCGATCAATCGTTGTTCATGCTTGGCGAGGGGGAGCAGAGGAGCTTCATGGTGGTTTATGTGGATGACATCCTCATATTCTCACCCTCCTCTGACCTTGTGAAGGAGGTGATGCTGAAGCTTCAAGACAAGTTCAAGTGCAAGACCCTTGGTGACGTCAACTACTACCTTGGGCTTCACATTAAGCGAGATGTGGAGAAGCGGTGGATGCGAGTGCATCAAAAGAAGTACTTGGAGGCCTTGGCTGCAAGCTTTGGGAAGGTCATGTGGCTACTCCTCTTCCCTCAGGGTTCAAGTGTGTGAAAGGACCAGTGGAGGAAAGTGTTGGTGAAGAGGAGAGGCGCCGTTTTCACTCCTTAGTGGGCAGCCTCATGTATGCGGCCGTTCACACAAGGCCGGATGCAGCCTTTGCTACCAGGCAGCTGGCTAGGGTTGTCCAATGCCCTAATGAAGAGCAGATAGCTGCTGGAGAGAGGGTGGCCAAGTACCTTGGCCAAACAGCAACTGCTGGACTGCAATACTCCGCGGCGGCACAAAGGCGTCAAAAGGGTGCGGATGGAGTCGAACCCGGGAGGCTCTTTCTCACCGCCTTCTCTGATGCATCTTGGGCATCAGAACCAGAGGACATGACAAGTGTGGGAGGCTTCATCTGCTGTGTTGTTGGAGGGCCAACAGCTTGGGAGAGCAAGAAGCAAGTGGACCAAGCATTGAGCTCGGTGGAGTCCGAGTACATGGCACTCTTCCGTGCCATAAGAGAGGCTGTGTGGCAGCGGCGTTTGCTAGCTGAATTGGGGGAGGAGCAGCAAGGACCTACCCCACTCTACTGTGATAGCCAAGGTGCTATTGCATTGGCTAAGAACCCGGTTCTTCATGGCCTTACCAAGCACATGAAGGTGAAGTGGCATTGGGTGAGGAACATGGTAACCACGGGTGAAGTGGAGTTGCACTACGTGAAGACGACGGCGCAGCCAGCTGATATGATGACCAAGAGGCTGGTTGAGCAGCAGCATTGGAAGTATTGCAAGCTTGCTGGGATGGCTCTGAACTAAGGGGAGCAGATTCTAAGGCCAACAATCCGAGGGGGAGTTTGTTGGTGCAACCCTATGGCTTGCACTCGGCTTGTCGTCCTTGTTTGTGTGTGTGCATGCATGGCATGGAATGAATTGTGAGTCTATGTCATTGCTATCCAGTTCTTGTGTGTGTGTTTGAATGGTGTATCACAACGTGGTTTGTGTCGGTCAAGACATTAGCGAGTTTCTACAACTCGCATGTCAAGTCGTCGTTTGTGTGTCGCATGTGTTTTTTCTATTTTGTCGAGTGTGAAGTGTCCATCGTGTCGCAGGTGTGTGCAGCAAGCCCCCATCAACTCAAGAAGAATTTATCTTGCAGATCCAAGAACAAGAGCTCAAGATTTCAAGCCCAAGGGACGCGGATAAATATTAAATAGTGAAAATAGTAACGTTATTTCGAGTAGTGTTACATTTCACTTGGTGTAGCCCCTTGGAGGGTTGGTTTCGAGAATCTTCATGGTTGGGGACTCTGTGGTGGTGTACCACCAACCTGGACCTCGGCTCTTGGGGTATGTAGAGGCTGGGAACCATCTCCCTCTCGAACTCTTCTTGCTAAGTTTGTACTCCTAAGACTATAGTGGCTGCTTTACCTCCTGCCAGTCAAACCGCCATAGCATCGTCAAATCTTCATGGAATTTCATGATTCAACTTGCTGCTAATAGACGACAGCAACGCGCTCCCGATCCAACTTAGAGATCACCGTTTGATTCAGCGAACTGATCGTTATCAATATTTGAAGCCGTCTGACGGAAATCCGACTGTGCTCTCTATCTCTCATTATAGGCACATCTAAGCCTATTGTGATTATAACATCCTCTCCCCCATGCCACCCTCTCCTCTCCCCCATTCCACCCTCTCCTCTCCCCCATGCGAACCTCTCCTCTCCCCCATGCCACCCTCTCCTCTCCCCCATGCGACCCTCTCCTCTCTCCCATGGGACCCTCTCCTCTCTTCCATGCGACCCTCTCCTCTTCCTTATGCCACCCACTCCTCTCCCCCATGCCACCCTCTTCTCTCGCGTATGCAACCTTCTCCCTTCCCCCATGCAACTCTCTCCTCTCCCCCATGGGATCCTCTCCTCTCCCCCATGCGACCCTCTCCTCTCCCCCATGCCACCCTCTCCTCTCCCCCATGCCACCCTCTCCTCTCCCCTATGCCACCGTCTCCTCTCCCCCATGCCACCCTCTCCTCTCCCCCACGCCACCCTCTCCTCTCCCCCATGCCACCCTCTCCTCTCCCCTCTCCCCTCTCCCTCCTTCGCTTCTGCAGCTGCAGGGCTCCTTCCCGGTGATTGACGACGTCAAGGAGGGCTCCATCCCTCATCACCAATCTCATTGCTAACGTCCACCCCTTCCTTTCCCCCATGCCACCCCATCATGCGACCCTGCCTCCTCGCCCCTGCAGCTGCACGTCTACTTTCTTGTGATCAACGACATCATGGACACCTTTTCTCAATGCCTCTCCTATCCCCTTACTCTCGCTCACCCCATCAGCTGCAGGGCTATTTCCTGATGATTGACGACATCATGGACAGCTCCATCACCCGCAGAGGCCAGCCCTGCTGGTACCGCGTCGATAAGGTGGGGTGCGGGATGTATCTGACTCTGCTGGGCTGCTTGGTTGGGTTCTTCTGTGTGCTGTGTGCCTTTTGAGTTGACTCAAAAGTCACCCCAGGGGCCACCCTGCTGGTGCCGCGTCGATCAGGTGCGCTGTGGGATGAAATCTGGTTATGCTGGGCTGCTTTGCTGTGTTCCATGTGCTGTGCGATGTGTGCAGTGTGCAGTGTGCAATGTGCATTGCCCAAAGCATTCATGTGTGGTACTTTGCTTATAGGAGTTGCGTGTACGCTGATTAATGGCACGATGATTGGTGCACCATTTGCCATGCTCGCTCTTTTGAATCCAACCAGTGCACACATAGATGCATCCATCCAATCAAAAGAGCAGCACCACCTCGTCATACGCCCCCACCCGCTGCCAGTTCCCGCCGAATGCCCAGCTCTCGTACCCGCCATACCCTGTATTAGCAATCTCAAACGGGCCCGTCTTGTAATACACCGCAAGTTCGAAGTTATCCCTGAAGTGCCACACCTCGACGCCGGCGGAATCCGGGCCGCCTTCCACAGTGTGGCTGCTCGTTATCACCATCACGTTGTACCCCGCGTTCATAAAAATCTCCGCTATCTTCTGAGTCACCTCGCTGTCATCTGGACCGTCGATCGTGCCCAGGCTCCCTGTAATGACCTCTTCAATGGTCACCCCCTCACAGCGGAACAGCTTTCGCTCCGCCCTATGCGGAGATCCCAAGGTCGATCCGGAGGCAGATCCGGATGCGGAGGCGAGAATACTGCTGTCAACGGTGCGTGTTGCGGCGGAGCGTGATTCCTCAGGCTGCAGCATGGGCTGTGCTGCGCTGACGCTGGTGACGGCGAGGAGCGCGAGGAGAATGAGAGGCATCAGCTAGAGAGCTGCGTACAGCCACGCGTTAGCGGCCATTGCGAAGCTGGCTTGTTGAGGTTTCTAGGAAGTTCCAAGTGTGAAAATTAGACGGAGGTTCTAGAAGTCGTGCGCTGATTGGTGAGTCAGGTTTGATCGAATGAGAAAAACTCTGATGAACCCTGACTGTATGGGAGAAGCTTTTGCTGAAGCTGTGATGGCATGGGGAACCATGGATGTCAAATTTGTAGATTTCCGTGTTCAACTTAATGCTGACAAGGGAAGGCAGGTCGAAAGCTGCTGGAGCCGCCATAGCCAGCGTTTGCTAGAACAGTGTTCTTCGAACTCAATCGCGCGAGGACATGGGTGGACTTCCTGCCTTAAACGGAAGGTCCAAGTGTGAGAGGTAAGTGAAGGCCAGCAAAATTCGGTCTGCAGTGAGTGCGTGCAACAAGACCAAAGCAGAAAGGGAAATGGCAATAAGCCAGCACCCTATAGGGAACACTTGGGCACACGTTATCCTTCTAATCTAAGGTATAGCGGAGGCGGGAGAATGCCATCCGTTCTGATTTGACTTGTGTGTAGAGCAGGCACAGGGGAGGGAGGGGAACTAGGGTGGGCGGAAGGCTTAGTTGAGGAGCCAGGTTTGACGAAGATCAGGATGGATGGAAGGGGAGAACTCGCTCGGTAGGAGGAGGAAGCGAAGTTGTTTGGCGCGCTTTATTCGGTGGGCAGATCGGAGCTGTTTTTTTCTGGACTGTGGAAGACAGCTGTATGAAAAAATTGCAGGAGAGTAGGAAGGCTGCGAGGATTGCGTGGAGACCTTCGAGCATGTGGGTCGTGATCTCGTAAAACTTGTGATTGCAGCAGGCGTTCCAGATGGTCTTGGCGGCTGCTCCCACTAGCAGGCTCGATGGGGCTGATTTTCCGGCCCTGGTGTGGAGGGGGAAAAGAGATTGTACAGGGGAGATGAGGACTCCGAGGTGGCGAAAAGTGATGCGGGGCTTGTTGGAGCTGTAGCTCGCAAGCAGGGTGCCCTTCACTCAAAATGTTTCTCGCCACATTTTCGAGTTACACATGACGTAGTCTAGGGCTTCGTCTTCCAACCTTCATGTGGGTCCCGGCGGATGATCTGCATCTGTCAACCACACATGGAGCCAAGTCGAGGTGGGACAACTCTTTGGGGTCTATCTTTCCGAAACCAGGAAATTGCACTTAATGCTTTTCCTAGCACTAGGCTACTTCGGCGACAATATGCTGGCGGTGAGATTCCATTCCTTAAGATTGTCGACCTCCGGTCGTCATTGACCAGGTCCAGCCACTTAGAGTAGCATTTGTTAACTAGAATAAGCAAACACGTTGATTTTCTCTAAGGGGTTGTACCCTCTAAGAGCATGCATATATCTAGCCTATTATAATACATACAAAGATGTTTGACACAACCCCTAGGCTAGATGAGGGGCAGTGCCTAGCAAGAGACACACAACTCAGGGTGGCACTACTAGTCCAGCCTCTGAGGCAAGGGTCCGAAGACCAGTTAGCAAGAGTACAAGCTAAACAAGAACAACCAAGAGCCACAAGGCCAATCAAGACAATATAGAAGAAGTAGACAATCAGGGTCCTAGCAAGTGAGAAGCTACAGAATCTAGACCAAGCTGTACAAAGTGCCACTGATGATCTTTAGGCGCAAGCGCCTTCGTAAAGATATCAGCTGTGTTGGCACCGGAAGCCAAGTGTACTATGCGGGCCTGGCGGTGCTGCAGTAGCTCGCGCAGGAGGAAGTACAGCAGCTGGATGTGCTTCGCTCTGCCCTCTAGTCCAGGCTCCTAACACAGGAGGATCATGGCCCTGTTGTCAGCGTACAGGACTGCTGCAGAGCTAGGCCGCTCACCTAAGTCTGTGAGCAAGAAAGTCAGCAGGCGGAGCTCCTGTGCCACCATGGCACCGGTGTAGATCTCAGCCTCGCAGCTGGATTGTGCAGCAGACGGCGAGCAGGTGAACCTCCACGAGACCGCGCCTGCACCAAGGCTAAAGTAGTAGCCTTGAGAGGACCTTAGCGTCTCAGCGTCGTCAGCCCATGAAGGGTCTGTGTGTCCTGTCAGGACCACTGGCCTACGTCCTCCTAGCACTAGCCCCATGCCCAATGTACTTGCAGCATAACGCTAAACCCTCTTAGCTGCCGGCCAATGCTGTGGTCGGTGTCTACCTATCGCCATGAAGTGAGCCTGGATGCTGAGAGGGTATGTGAGATCTGGACGAGTGCAAGTCATCAGGTACATGAGGCAACCCACCAGCTCTGCGTAAGGATCACTAGGCTCTACACACTCCTCAGGCACTGGAGCCGAGAGCCTGTGATCTATTGGCAGAGGTGTGGGCTGTGCGGAGGTGAACTGAAGACTGAACCTCTGAAGGACCTGGCGCACCAAGTGTGACGTGTGAGAGTGATGGTGCGTGTTGCTCTGTCCTTGGATAACTATAGTCCAAGGTAGCGGCGCAGTTCTCCCAGGTCAGTGCAGGTGTGTCTCCTCAGCAGCTCGACCTTCACGGAGGCCAATGAGTCTATGTCTGCTATAG